CTACTACTTAGAAATCTCTCTGGAATAACAGATCCTGTCAGGATTATTGATTTGCTAGCAGATAAAATACTGATAAAATACATGATCTGTAAGACAGCTTTCTTTGCTGGGAAAAAAAGAGAGCAAGCGACCTTGCTAAGTCCACCACTCTGAATAGACTCTAGAGGCATCCTGTTAAAATCTTTTAAAAACAAGAAAACCCCAAAATTCATTTGTACGTATTATGAATCTGGAGTTTGTTTGTGAAATCCTAACCGGGTTCCCCCCCTCCTTTTTTTGCTATGATCTTTGTTTTTTTGGTGTGTTTTTTAAGCAAACAAAACTGACTGAGAAGGAAATCTTACACAGATTTACTTGGAAGTCCCAATTCTGATTAAGATTCACTACTGAGTATACACGTATGAGTGGTGGCTTTTCCACACACGCCAGTTAGGCAACATATTCCACAGGGATTTTTGTGTGTGTACTTCCTGTGACAGCAAACACACAAATGCATCCATTCCTGTGGCACCTTCAACAACTGATAGATTCATTGTGGCACCTGCCGCAGAGTCTTCTTCATCGGTTGCGTGAAGCTAATCTGTTCTTTCAGTTACTTGGTAAATTACTGCAGTCCTGGGCTGCCGCAGCTGCCCTGAACTTGCACACTTCTGAACTTGGCACAGAAGTATCACACACAGGCACTACTTACACTCCATGGCCCCATTACAATATTTGCGTGTACAGATCTGCTGAGAATCATGCCACAGCACAAATCGGTTAAGTTTTCAAGTTGCTAGAAGACTCTGCTTTGTATAGCCAATAGAGAGTTGCATTACTGGTAAACATACAAGTAGAGCTTAACTATACAACCAACTCCCAATGGATTGCACTTAGGGTACCCTACCCCTCGCCTATTCCCCAAAAGAGACCCCTGTGTCGAACTTTCGGCGACATCTAGATTTATTTGCTTAAATTAATCTGAAGACAGAAATGATAAGCTCCGTAGGCTGACATCCTCCGATCTCTTTGCTTAGGCAGCATCAAAGAGAGACAAATGCGGATGACTTTCAGAAAGGTGTTAAATAAAGCCCCATTTTTTAAAAAACCCAATTTTTTTACTCATCCGTCCAAACCAGCCCTCTTCAAATAATCCCAATTCCTTCCCATCACTCTGTCGCTCATTTTCTGGGGCTGGCATTGCAATCATGCCTTATAGCAATTTAACCCGAAGCTCGTTGTCAGATGTGTTACTTGACTCGATGAAAGAAGCGGTTGCCGCGAAGTTCCCGGCCGAAAAGCCTTCCTTTCTTCACCGCCCGGGTGCAGACCCCCCGGGCTACCTTATGCCGGACCTCCCGCGCCCGCTTCTTAAAAGCAGCATTTGCTATTTTCGTCGAAAAGCAAAAGTTTGCAAATTTTCAGGCCGGGAGAGCGAGCCGAGGCTGAGTTCCCCGCTCTTTTCCGGAGGAGCCCTGCCACCCCGGAGCGTGAAAACCAGGTGTCCGAAAGCCCGCATCCTCCCCTTCGATCCAACCTGGAACGGGAGGGATCCGCGGACGGGACTCGGAGTAATCGACTCTTTTGTGCGGGTTAAGAAACACAAAAGTTGCCCGGACCAGGAGCCCAGGTCTGGCTGTCAAAGCGCCGTGCTCGGAACGCACCAATCAGCGCGCAGCTCCTCCCCTATAAATACGAGGCAGCGCCGCCGCCGCGTCCATTCAGCTTCTGCTTTGGTGACTCGACGGTGTGCTCGGGGGGCGGTATAGTTTCGGATCAGGATGACTGAAGAGGTTCCCGCCGCGCCCGTCGCCGCGCTGCCGGCTGTCAAGGCTCCGGCGAAGAAGGCCAAGAAGGCGTCGGCCGCCGCCCCGAAGTCCCGCAAGGCCTCGGGCCCCAGCGTGACGGAGCTGCTGACCCAGGCGGTGACGGCGTCCAAGGAGCGCGGCGGCGTCTCCCTGGCCGCGCTGAAGAAGTCGCTGGCGGCCGCCGGCTACGACGTGGAGCGGAACAACAGCCGCATCAAGCTGGGCCTGAAGAGCCTGGTGACCCGGGGGATCCTGCTGCAGACCAAGGGCACGGGCGCCTCGGGCTCCTTTAAGCTCAATAAGAAGCAGGCGGACAACAAGGACAAGGCGCCCAAGAAGAAGCCGGCGGCGGCGGCCGCGAAAAGTAAAAAGCCCGCGGCCAAGAAGCCCGCCAGCGCCGCCAAGAAGGTGAAGAAGGCAGCCGCCACCAAGAAGGGCGTCAAGAAGCCGGCTAAGAAGCCCGCGGCAGGCGCCAGGAAGGCCGCCAAGAGCCCCAAGAAGCCCAAGGCGGCGGCGGCCAAAAGCAAGAAGGCCGCCAAGAGCCCCGCCAAGGCGAAGGCAGCTAAGCCCAAAGCGAAGCCCAAGACCCCCAAGGCGAAAGTCGCCAAGCCCAAGAAGGCGGCGCCGAAAAAGAAGTAGGAAGGACCCGCTCGGCTTCCGCGAGAGGCAGCAGCGCTCCTCGTTAACCCCAAAGGCTCTTTTAAGAGCCACCCACAAATTCAAAGAAAGTGCTGAATTTCCCTTGCCATGTGAGGTGTTTCGATCATGTGATGCAAGTGCCGCAGTTGGTAGAATCGTAGTGTGTCCAATCCCTTGCACAGTCTCTCCCCTCCCAATTCGAAACCATACCAGACCCCGCTGAGCAATTGTGTGCTAGTAAGGTTACAGTATTGCTGCAATTCTAGGCTTTTCTTTTAATCAGGTATCCTGTTGCTCATTTCCCCCCGCCGGCTTTTTTATCCGTGCCAAATCACTTGACATTAATGTTTCTGCAACTTTGTTTTACGGGGGGGGGGGGGGAGAGACACCACGTGGCAATGGGGTGGGCGTGGAGAAAGCAAGTGGTTGCTTCCATGATACTGTTTTTAGACGGGAGGAGGGTAAAAATGGATTTGCTTTCCCTTAGTGAATGCTAGCTACCCCAGGGCTTGCTAAAACGGGGGGAAAGTCGTTGAAGGAGGATACAAATCGAAGGGGCAAGATCCATGTGGGACGCCTGTAAACTGCACAGAAGTACCACGCCGCCGTGTCCACTTAAACATTCCCAGCAACTGGTGCTTAATGCACAATACCTAACTGGCAATTGAACATAATATTGCAGTAATTAACAGCTTTTTAAGATTATGTGGTGGCTCTTAAAAGAGCCTTTGGGTTTTTGAACGTAGGAGGCCCCTACTTTGACAACGAATATCTTAAGCTCTTTCTCCGCGGATGCGGCGAGCCAGCTGGATGTCTTTGGGCATGATGGTGACCCGCTTGGCGTGGATGGCGCACAGGTTGGTATCTTCGAAAAGGCCCACCAGGTAAGCCTCGCTCGCCTCCTGAAGGGCCATCACCGCAGAGCTTTGGAAGCGCAGGTCAGTCTTGAAATCCTGCGCGATCTCCCTCACCAGACGCTGGAAGGGCAGCTTGCGAATCAGCAGCTCCGTCGACTTCTGGTAGCGACGGATCTCTCGCAGGGCAACAGTCCCAGGGCGGTAGCGGTGAGGCTTCTTCACGCCCCCGGTGGCCGGCGCGCTCTTCCGGGCAGCTTTGGTCGCCAGCTGCTTTCGAGGCGCCTTCCCGCCGGTGGACTTGCGAGCGGTCTGCTTGGTACGAGCCATGGCGAGCAAAGCAAAGGACTCTCTTCAGCAAATGAGACAAAGAGCCCGGTTGCTGGTTATTTATAGACCGCTCTCGCAGTCTTGATTGGCTGAAGACTGAGCATTGTCAGTTGGAAAGTTTGAATTTCCTGGGCTGAACAGCAATTGGCTAGACAAGATCACGCAAGAGGGCAAAGTGGGGCGGGGCCACAGCCTGTTTTTTTTCTCCCGCCAGGACTCTCATTGAGCAGCTGCAAACAGAGTGCATTTGATTGGACGAAATTGAGACCGAGTTCTGCAACGTACAAAAGTACGTCTAAGTTTTCATTCTGGTCGGATATTTCTCTATATAAGGAGAGGGAGCCCTTCCTTACGCTACATTTTGTTTTTTGTGTCGCTATAGAAAGGTTGCTTGGCAAGCATGTCTGGTCGTGGGAAAGGCGGGAAAGGTTTGGGCAAGGGAGGCGCCAAGAGGCATCGCAAGGTGCTTCGTGACAACATCCAGGGCATCACGAAGCCTGCAATCCGCCGCCTGGCTCGACGTGGCGGAGTCAAGCGTATCTCGGGCTTGATCTACGAGGAGACCCGTGGCGTCCTGAAGGTCTTTCTGGAAAATGTCATCCGCGACGCCGTGACTTACACCGAGCATGCCAAGAGGAAGACTGTAACCGCCATGGATGTCGTGTACGCTCTGAAACGGCAGGGTCGTACTCTGTACGGCTTTGGTGGCTAATTCTAGATATCAAGGCTGCAATTTAAAGCCAAAGGCCCTTTTAAGGGCCGCCCACCTTTTCATGAAAAGAGTTATATACTTTCCCTTATTTTCTTTATTGATATACTTAATCCAAAACTTTAGACAGTGGTTTTTGAAACTACCAGTAATCTTTCAGAATATTTACTTTTTGTTTAATAATAATCAAGAAAAATTTTGGTAGGAAATTACATATTCCAGAAATATTTTTTCTGTGTGGTATACTATACTACGCTGAAATGTTTTAAACGTTCGTTTCTTCGATCTTCCCGCTACATTCCCATTCTCTTGCCATACTAGTAACACCCTGAGAACCACTGCCTTACAATAGCGCCTGTATTTAAACATAGGCACGTACATGTGTTATTTGGGCGAAGGGTGGAGACGCCAACCTTCAGATCCTTGGTAGAATGAATAATGGGAACAGGAAGAAAGGCAGACCGAGCGCATGGGCTTAGCCAGAATTTTTGTTTTGGGGGCGTGCTGGCTTTTAAGATGGCAGCAGCGAGTGCAGTGCTTATAAATTCACAATATAGCGTTCTCAGAAACCCAGTCTGAAACTTTCAGCAATATAAGCTCAGCTCTCTTATGACAGGGTGGACGGCTCTGAAAAGAGCCTTTGTGAACACCAGACGCCGCGGTCTGATTTTTACTGGGCCTTCACTTTGTGATCTTGGGCAGGACGCCGCCCTGGGGGACGGTGCCTTTGGCCAGCAGCTTGTTCAGCTCCTGGTCGTTGCGGATGGCCAGCTGCAGGTGCCGAGGGATGATACGCGCCTTCATGTTGTCCCGCGCCGCGTTGCCGGCCAGCTCCAGGATCTCGGCAGTCAGGTACTCCAGCACCGCCGCCGTGTAGACAGGGGCTCCGGCTCCCACGCGCTCCGCGTAGTGCCCTTTGCGAAGCAGGCGGTGCACTCGACCCACAGGGAACTGCAAGCCCGCCCTGGACGAGCGAGACTTCGCCTTGCCCTTGGCTTTGCCGCCCTGCTTTCCACGGTCAGACATCATACAGCCAAATCCACCAAGAACTACAACAACGAAGAGCAGAATGAGAAACACAACCTTGCAAGCCGCCTATTTATTTACTCCCGATGGATTCTTTCTGTCAAATTTGATTGGGTGAAAGAGAGATAGGATGTACTTAGCACCCAATGAGAATGTGTCTTCTTGCAACCAACCAGAATGTTACATTTAAATTACGCAATATGCTTGTGCGAGCCAATAGAAATATCACATGGGATATTTCCATGTTCCGCTTTCAAAAAAAGGGGGGTTACGTCATTACTCTTCCGTCTGAGAAATTAACGATGGTGACCATATTAGATTGTGTTAAAAAACGAAAAGGAATAACTTTGATTGGTGTTTTTTCTTAACGTGACAAACTATGACCAGTACTTACATTCAGAGCACAATATAAAATTACAGTCAAACAAGCAAACTACATTCTCTTTTGTCTCTGCACGCGTGTAAATACTGTATTGGGAAAGGCATGTGTCCTTGTACTTCTGCCACAGGAGCGAAAGCTAATAGCGTAATAGGAGACCAGAACGTCCTTCATCGAGGCAGCACCCAATGCCTTATTGTTATTTTTTAAATGTATAGACTCAGGCTGATCGTTATCCTCATTTAATTGTGGGCTAAGGGAGTGGTTTACAAGAACCATGCAATGAAAGACGCTAGATGGATTAGATGACCATTGGGATCCCTTCCAACTCTACAATTTTATAATTCTAATGCGACATAAACCTCTGAAATTTACAGTATGCTTTTCTAATTCCTGCTCCTCACAATTTTGCAAATGTTAGGATAAGAGTTTTCAGGTTCTGTTTTACTCTTTTCCCCGCCTCTACGCTACTATTTTGTTTTTCCATTCTGTTCTGCACCATTTCCAGATTACAGTACTGTACCAGTACTTAGTATCACCGGACAGAATCATAATTTTGTAAATTATGAAACATGTCTATAACTCTCCTGGCTGCACTATCCTCCCCAAATCAAAGGCACATATCTGTTTGAGGAGATAGTTCGCTTTTGATTGGAGATTTTAAAATGACCAGAAGCTGATTGGTGAAAGTATAGCCTATAGCGTTATGGAGTTTGGAAAGAGGGCGTGGCTCAGTCAAAGGCTAACATGTCCCTCTTCAGTCTTCCCTCTGGTCGGACCTTGCTGTATAAAAGAAGCAGCTGCGCTACTCTTCGCTTACTTCTTTCTTGAAGAACACAGAGTGTTGTCTTTGTTATCATGTCTGGTCGTGGAAAAGGCGGGAAAGGCTTGGGCAAGGGAGGCGCCAAGAGGCATCGCAAGGTGCTTCGTGACAACATCCAGGGCATCACGAAGCCTGCAATCCGCCGCCTGGCTCGCCGTGGCGGAGTCAAGCGCATCTCGGGCTTGATCTACGAGGAGACCCGCGGCGTCCTGAAGGTCTTTCTGGAGAATGTAATCCGAGATGCCGTGACTTACACTGAGCATGCCAAGAGGAAGACTGTGACCGCCATGGATGTCGTGTACGCTCTGAAGCGCCAGGGCCGCACTCTGTACGGCTTTGGTGGCTAATCGGGATACCAAAACTATTACAAACGAGCTCAAAGGCCCTTTTAAGGGCCGCCCACCTTTTCATGAAAAGAGCTGACACAGTTTGGGTTGCTAAAAGCGTTTTTCGCTTAGGTAACCTTGGTTATCGGAATTTTATATGAACCACTTTGGAAAGTGCAGTAAATGCGTGGGATTGTGCCAGACTTGCCCAGTAACGCGGTGAGGCGATTTAAATCAATGCTGGGAAGTCGTGTAAAAAACTCATTTTGGTATATGCAGTGGAGGCAATGAAGGATAATTGTCATTAATAGCAGCAATACTGATCGGTAGACGTTGGAAACGTAGAAAAATGGTGATCTGAGAGAGAGCACTAACCTAAAAACGGGCTAGGAGGGCAGCAAAAATACCGAGACTACAAGACTGACTGCGTTGCCTTCATGTTGATATTAACTTTCAGTCTCTTTCCCCAAACTTTAGAAGCCTATAGCGTGTCTAAAAGATACAAAGTGTTGCTCGGCGGGTGATGGATGGGGAAACAGGTGATTTCTACACTTTCCGACCTACGTAGCTGCTGGCTCCACTATTCCGGGATCAGCTTTTTGGGGTGAGCCAACTCCATGCAGCTTCTTGCCCGGGGGTTACCTTCCTCTGCTATTAACACCCCACCCCGCTCCAAAGCTGCTTTGCGGCAGCCAGCTCCTGTTTCCAGAGCTTTACTCCGCAACGTTGCTGGTGAAAAGAAACCCCTTGCCTTACTACACGTTTCGGGTGCAAGAACGTGCATTTCTTAAAGGCAGCCTTGGAAGCGCAGCAAACTCTTTCGGGAAATTGGTGATTCATAAAAGAGCCTGCGGAGAGGCGGGGGGGTTTCGCTGCTCAAAGGAAAACGTGAGATGCTTGCAGCCAAACCTTGCTTTCTATATACTGTACTCACCTTTAGCTTCCGAGAGACGGCGCTGATTGGATGAGAATGGAACTCGCTCACCAATGAAGACGTGGCTTTATCGCCCTAGCCAATCAGAATGCTGATTCCGGAAATAACCAATAAGGTTCCCCCTAAAAAAAAACCCCCTATGGAGGTTTTTAAGCAGAGGCTGGATGACCATAAGTCAGGAATGATCTAGCTGAGATTCCAGCATTGCAGGGGGTCAGACTAGATGACCCTCGGGGGTCTAGATGTCAAAGAGAAAAACAACTACCGGACTTTTAGAAACATCTGAAGGCAGCCCTGTTTAGGGAAGTTTTAATGTTTAATAGATTATTGAATTTTAATATTCTGTTGGAAGCCGCCCAGAGCAGCTGGGGAAACCCAGCCAGATTGGCGGGGTATAAATAATAAATTATTATTATTATTATTATTATTATTATTATTATTATTATTTCTTCCAAATCTACAATTCTGTGATTCTGTGAAATGGCTAGCTTAGCTCCTGGAAACAGAATAATGAAGGCTGCCATTCCAGCACTGGGGAAACGGAGGAGCAGAGCTCATTTGAATGGCTCTGCAGCGACAGGCCAGCTGCATCAGGCCTCCTCTCCCTCAAATGTCATTAAGGGTTAAACCACAGAGCCAAGGACTTGCTGATCAGAAGGTTCGTGGTTCGAATCCCCGCGATGGGGTGAGCTCCCGTTGCTCGGTCCCTGCTCCTGCCCACCTAGCAGTTCGAAAGCACGTCAAAGTGCAAGTAGATAAATAGGCACCGCTCCGGCAGGAAGGTAAACAGCGTTTCCATGTGCTGTTCTGGTTCGCCAGAAGCGGCTTATTCATGCTGGCCACATGACCTGGAAGCTGTACACCGGCTCCCTCGGCCAATAAAGCAAGATGAGCGCCGGAACCCCAGAGTCAGCCACGACTGGACCTAATGGTCAGGGGTCCCCTTTACCCCCTTTACCTCAGTGGCAGAGATAGGAAGCAGAGATCATTACATCCACTTAGCCTAAGGCCCCAGCTACTGCCTCTGAACTATGCCTGCTGGTCAGGAGGATTTTGGCCATCGCATGGGAGAAGAGTCTCAAATATATGGTCTCCCAAGCCCACAATCCCAGCATGTTCGCACTCCTGTCTCAGCGACTTTTATTTATTTTATTTTCAGTTTAATGTCTCGGCGACTTCTATGCTGGCTTGGTGATGTCCACAGAACTGAAGAGGGCAGGATCCCCAAGAATGTGCTCTGTGGGGAGTTGGCTTCAGGCACCAAGTCCATTGGCATACCAACTCTGCGTTACAAAGATGTCTGCAAGGTTGACATGAAGGTTGGCGATATCAACCCCACCGTGTGGGAATCCCTTGCAGACAACCACTGGGTCTGGAGATAGTCTTGTTGTGCATCCATAGCAGTGACCACAGAAGGAATGTTTAGGGAAGCTTTTAATGTTCAATAGGTTATTGCATTTTAGTGTTTTGTTGGAAGCCGCCCAGAGTGGCTGGGGAAACCCAGCCAGATGGGCGGGGTATAAATAATAAATTATTATTATTATTAGGAATGACTGCAGTGAGAAGAAATGCCATTGCACATCAGCAGCAGCAAAACTGGATGCCTTCATCTGCCCCAGCAGCAACAAAACATGTCTCTCCCCTATTGTCCCTACAGCCACAGCAGGCACTGCAACCTTCAAACAGTTCGATTTCACCAGCAATAGTGCTCTCCTCCATCGTCTCCCAAGACAGACGGATGCCAGCAACAGGCCAATATGGGAACAACTATCTAGAAATTGGTGCCTGAGTTTATTCTCCTCTTCCCTCCTTGTTCCTTTTTCCTTGTGTGTTGTGTGATTTTTTAAAAAAATGGGTCTGTTTGCTTATTTATTAGAATATAAGCATGCAGGTAGCAAATGTCTTGTTTCATATAAGCCAGTCTGGGAGCCTTTTTTGGCTGAAGAGCAGGGGACAAATGCTCTAAATAAGTAAACAAATAAAGATGACCCATTTCAAATCCTTGCGTTTATTTTTAATTCCATTTTTGCCAACCCCTCTACCCCCAAGCTACCCCCACCCCAGGGTCGTAAGCAACAGCTGCCCATAGCCTACAGGAGATGGTGTTGAATCCTGTATTTTTTAAATAGTTTTATTTATTTATTAACGTTCTTATGTTACATCGGTAAACATTGTCATATTACATCACAAGGCTTATTATAATATAATTTTCAGCATGTATACAAAGTTTATGTACAAAGTTTATATACCCGTTGTTTGGTCCCAGCTCCTGTCAACCTAGCAGTTCGAAAGCACCGCAAAGTGCAAGTAGATAAAAAGGGACCGCTCCCCGGCGGGAAGGTAAACGGCGTTTCCGTGTGCTGCTCTGGTTCGCCAGAAGCGGCTTAGTCCTGCTGCCCACATGGCCCGGAAGCTGTCTGCGGACAAGCGCCGGTTCCCGGCCTATAGAGCGAGATGAGCGCGCAACCCCAGAGTCGGTCACGACTGGACCTGATGGTCAGGGGTACCTTTACCTTTACATACCTAAAGAAAAGAAACAAGGACAAAAATCTATTTCAAAATCATATACAGTGGTACCTCAGGTTAAGTACTTAATTCGTTCTGGAGGTCCGTACTTAACCTGAAACTGTTCTTAACCTGAAGCACCACTTTAGCTAATGGGGCCTCCTGCTGCTGCCACGCCACTGGAGCACAATTTCTGTTCTCATCCTGAAGCAAAGTTCTTAACCTGAAGCACTATTTCTGGGTTAGTGGAGTCTGTAACCTGAAGCGTATGTAACCCAAGGTACCACTGTACGTATGTACCAACACTTTGGACTTCCTGTCTCTCCCATTGTATATTCCTTTTTTAACAAATGAATGTACTCTTAATATTGTATATTTCTTTCCATTTTATCTAATACACTCCTATACCAATATGTACTCTTGGTCTTATTTCTCAACTCAGTCTCTCTCCAACGTCAATCGAATGCTAGCATAGATAGGGAACCTTTACTGTATTTTTGAACATATATCTTATATCTATCCCACTTTTCCACAATTTTTTGTTTTGAATTGCTTCTCAGGCTATTTGTCAACTGCGCCATTTCAGCAAATTCTTGTAGCTTGTTATGCCAATCTGTTATTGTCAGGACTTCTTCTTCCTTCCACCCCTGTCTGAGCTGCAGGCGTTGCATGAATCCTGTATTTAAATTAGGTGTAATTCGAAGGAAGTCTGTCCCTTGTTCAGAAAAAGTAGCAGCCGTTGTAGCCTCCCTGTGTTTTAGCCACAGCCACCCCCATTCCCACCGCAAAATATTGTGGAAGGTTTGGCTGCAACAGAAGCGACTGCAACAGCCCTACAATGTCATCTACCTTAAGTTTAAAACAGATATACACAGTTAAGAGACACAAGAAAATCCAGCTTTTGCTACATTAGCTGAGAAGGTAGGTTTGCTTTTGGCCTCTAGAGGCCGCTAGAGACTGCAGGGAAGCCAGGAACACATTTTTCCAAGGGAGCTGTTCCAACAGCACCTAGAATATTTACTGTCTCCCTCCCACTGTAAACGTCTGACATTCCTTCTTTGTGAATTTAAAGCAAAGGCAAAAAGCACCAGACTCCTTCGATAAGTGCTCAGCCAAATATATTATGATTACCTACATGTCTCAAACTAAAAGAGGGGAAAATGATCCCCGACTAATTAAGCAACAATGTAAAATTTAAAAAGACAAGAGCAAGAAGATTCAATTAGCTTTGTAATAAATCTATTTACACAAAATCTTATGGCTGTGGTGGCCAGATTTTAGTCATTTCCTCACTAGGATGGGCAAAGTGAGAAATGCTCTTGAGACTTGCTTGTTTCAAAGTCCCTCCTTTCCTTATTAGGAGGCATTAGCTAAATATTTATTTAGAAAACCCAGATTCCCAGCAGGCAGATGCCTCAACAGAACTTCTCTAGCACTCTCAAGGAAAGGTATATTCTTCCTTTTCCATTTCCGCCTTGCTGTTTAGTGTGGGTTTTTGTGGCAAAATTGCCAAGCTCCTTGTTTGGAAATGGTCAGGTATTTCTTTTACTCCTTAGATCAGGAGTCAGCAAACTTTTTCAGC